GTGCGTCCGGGATTGGTCGATGTCAACAAGATTGTGGATGTTGGAGCCTATGAAGCTGTGATTCCCGTGCCCACCAAGCGGTACCGAAGGAAAACAGACGTTGACCAAGATCAAGAAGATCCTGATGAAGAGGTTGTAGGACCCTATGACCCAAACCATCCTGCGGAGCATTATGCAATGGGCTTACTGGAGGAAGATGTGTTGATCCCGGATCAGTTGGAGACTCTCACCCATCTTCTACCGTGCACTGCCAAGATTCCCCGGCGGTTTGGAGATCAAGATTTGGATGGAAAGATTTGGTCTGCAGGGGCTGTTGTTCATGGTGGAGTTCTTGGGGTAAAAAGGGCGACAACTTCCTTTCCGATGAGTACTATGGTGTTCACGAAGTACCTAAAGCAGATTGCGCCAGACTTCAAGTTCAATGCCATAGCGGTCAATGTGGATGTTTTGACACAGGAGCATAAGGACGTCCACAATGTGGGAAGGAGTTTGATCACTGCTTTGTCATCATTTTCCGGAGGAGGTTTGGTCGTGGAAGAAGAGGATGGTCGGAAGGTCATTGAGGTGACGAGCGCGCCACAGTACTTTGAGCCTCATGAGAAGCACTCTACAGCTCCATGGGACAAAGGGCGTCGCGTTGTTTTGGTTGGTTACTCGGTGAGAGACAGTGGGAAGCTATCGGAGGAGCATGTGGCTACGTTGACTCATCACGGGTTTGATTGGGATCCTCATTGTCGTCCCGGTGATGTTTCTGCGCCTACATTGAGTACGTTGCGGGTGAAGCTTTTAGATGCGAGGACCGGACGTGATCTACCACAAGCCTCCAGAGAGACCGGACGTGATCTACCACAAGCCTCCAGAGAGACCGAACGTGATCTACCACAAGCCTCCAGAGAGACCGAACGTGATCTACCACAAGCCTCCAGAGAGACCGAACGTGATCTACCACAAGCCTCCAGAGAGACCGAACGTGATCTACCACAAGCCTCCAGAGAGACCGGACGTGATCTACCACAAGCCTCCAGAGAGACCGGACGTGATCTACCACAAGCCTCCAGAGAGACCGGACGTGATCTACCACAAGCCTCCAGAGAGACCGAACGTGATCTACCACAAGCCTCCAGAGAGACCGGATGTGATCTACCACAAGAGTTTATCGCAACACGTTCTCGTGTGAGGACCCCGTCCGCTACCGCAGAGCTAGATGCTCTTCATGTGGGCCAGGATTTGGACTTGGCAATCCAGGACATGGAAGACAGAGCGAGTCGTTTGCGAGATCTCATTGAACACGAGGAGATCATGTCTGAAGAGTATCGTCGATTGAGTGAAGAGTCTCGGGAACATTTGCTTGGGGCTCGTGATCAAGTGGCTACTTTTCTGGATGAGGTGCATACGAGCCTTGTTGAGTTGGAGCGTTTGAGGTCTGTGACGTGCTTGAAGGCTGTGAAGCCAACTACGTCTTCGTCTACTACGGTGCAAGCTGAAGAAGTTGACTATGAAGCGATGTTGGATGCATTGGAGGAGGATTTAAAGATTGTCCACACGGTTCCGTTGCCGCAGGTGAAGGATGCGTTGGATCGGTGGATTGAAGCCATCAGAAAGGAGGTGGAGATGCTCTTTCAGACGGGCACATTGCGACGCGTGACTCACCAGGAGATCAAGGACATGGAGAGCGCTGGAAGAGTCTTGATGGCTCCGGCGAAGTGCGTGTTCACTCTAAAACCTCCTTCAGTTCCTGGTCGCCGAGCCAGGAGAAAGTGCAGGATTGTCATCTGTGGAAACTTCGTGCCGGTTGGGGCCTCGGATATCAGTTTGTACGCCTCGGGGGCATCAACGGACACATTGAGGGTGGCTTTAGTGCTATCGTCTTTAAACAACTGGCTTGGAGCGATTTCTGACGTGACCAGTGCGTTCCTATTGGCCCCTTGGCCACCGGAGCTTCCTCGATATGCCATTCGGCCTCCAAGAGTGGTTCGTGACAGTGGTGAGGCCGTTGACACAGAGTACTGGGTTATAGAACGTGCTCTATATGGCCTTCGAGAGTCGCCTGCCATTTGGGGAAACTTTCGTTCCAACAGGTTGAGTCGAGCTAGAGTTTCCTTCAAGGGCGTGATCCTCAGGTTTGTGGCTACTGTTTCGGATCCAGAACTTTGGTTGGTTGAGGAGGAGGGCACAAAGGTCTTGTACGGGCTCCTGGTCACTTACGTGGACGATTTGTTGTACTTCGGTGAGCGGGCCGTGATTGAGGCGTTGCACAAGTTCATCATTGAAGAGTGGCCTGCTAGCGAGCTCGAGTGGATCAATGAGGGTTCACCAGTGAGGTACTTGGGTGTTGAGATCCTGAAGCGAAAGGGTGGAGGTTTCTTTATAAGTCAACAAGCTTATGTTGAGGAGCTACTACGGAGCTACGAGCTGGAGGAGATCCATCCCACCCAGCTACCTGCACCTCGTGAATGGATTGAAGTGACCGAAACCCAAGATCAACCAGAAGAGTTCGAAGAGAGCGACTTGAGGCAAGCTCAAAGGTGCGTTGGAGAAGCATTGTGGCTAGCTACAAAGACTCGACCCGACATACTGTTCATCGTGAACCACATGAGTACGTTTGTCAGTCGTCGTCCTCGCCATGTGTATCGAGTTGCACAGCGATTGTTGGCCTACTTGTCGGGCACTAGAGATCTGAAGCTTCAGCTCGGGGGAAGTGCGAAGGACGAGAGAACTATTACGTGTTTTACTGACGCGAATTTTGCTCCGTTCGGGGAGCGGTCCTTCAGCGCGGCGGTTGTGACCGTCAATCAGTCCCCTGTTGCTTGGAAAGCAGGTCGCCAAGCTTTTGTGACCCTCAGCGTTATGGAAGCAGAGTTGTACGCAGCTACTCAGGGATGTTTGCTGTTGGAAGCAGTCGCGGCTTTGGTCAACGAGGTGTATCCCAACAAGTATGAGAAGGTGCTGGCGGTCGACAACACGAGCGCGGAGGCCATGCTGGCTGGTGGTCCCGGTTCTCAGAGGACAAGGCATTTGAAGATTCGTGCCAGTTATGTCAGGGAGTCGGTTCAAGAAGGTCGTTTGGTTGTTCGTCATGTGGAAGGGAAGGAGCAGCTTGCTGACCTAGCTACAAAGTTGCAACCTCGTTTGCGTCTTCAGCAACTTTTGCGTCTTTGGGGCTTTGTGGGAACTTATGTCAACGAGACCATGAAGGCTCTTAAGCTCAAGGCGGTGATGTTGGTTGTGGTACTGTCGTCATTGCTTTGCCCTACGAGAGCGCAACCTACAGAGGAGAAGGAGCCGTTGAAACATGTCGAATGGGATGAACTTCTTCTTCTGTTGGTTGGAGTGTGTGTTGTGACGGTTGGTGTTTGGGAGTTAACCAAGCTGTTGGTCAGAAAGGTTGCACGGCAAATGAAGGGCTTTCGCAAGGCACGGAAGCTTGAGAATGTTGGTGCAATTGCTGCTGAAGCAGCAAGACGTGAGATTCGTCTTCATGAAGAACAACAAGCAGATGGTTTACGCCTTCGCCAAGCACAGAGCCCGGACCTTCCAGCTACGCAGTCTCGGGAAGAACTTCCTCAAACTCCAGGGCCTTCTACCAGTTCGAGGGTTGAGAGGTCTACGTCTCCGGTGGTTTCGCGAAGGGTTTTTCGTACACCACCATGCACTCACCGTTCATCAAGAGTCAGAGAAGATTCTGCAGAGCGTGCGAGGGTTTCACGAGACATGTTGAACCTCTTGACCGTTGAGGACTTGAAGACAGGTCTGCGTGTTGAGGGTTTGACGGTTACGGGCCTAAAGGTGGACTTGGTTGCGAGACTGGCTCAGATGCTGGTACCTGCCGGAGATGATCGTGAAGACTCCCTCCCCACGATGAGGCAAATGAAATACGTCCTATGGCTCTTCCGCCAAAAGAATCTCAGTGGACGAGTACGGCTTCACTGGGAAACGGTCAATGATCGCTCTCGCATTTCTCGATGGATTGAGACTTGGAGAACCGCGTGACCTTGAGTCTTTTGAGAAGCAGAAATTAGCAAAAGGCTGTTATCATCAGTCTACCTCCACACCGAAGGTGAAGAGGTAAGGAGGAGTGTGAGTGTATAAGCAATGAGACTGATGTGTGCATGTGAACTGGCTTAAGCTTGGAAGCTTGGGCATGTCGAAGCTTGTAAAGCAGATAGCTTCAACTTGGTACGACAGCTTAAACATAAGCTCAGAAGTTGCGGTGACTTTCAGGTCTGTGCGAAAAGTTTAGTGAGCGCTTGCGGTGCATGGTCGGCCCTCCTTCACCCCTTTAGAGTGAAAGATCTCTTCAGTATAATATGGGTGGTTGTCAAAATTAGGGTTTCTTTTTGGGTCCCTAATATAATACGGCACCCAATATTTAGGGTACCCAAAAAGGGAACCTAATTTTGACAACTACCCATATACAAGCTGTATGCACGTAGACACGCTTCACGGGTCCCCCAGGATTCCAGGGTGTGTGTTGTACTATGAGTGTATTAAGAACCTTATTCTGCTTGCTAAAACTCCTAGCTTTAATTTTAATAGGGTCTCGGTGTATGAAGAAGTTAAGAACCCCATGTCATTTATTGAGCTCCTCTACCGCGTTAAAGCTAAATACATCTTCATTTGGGGTTTATTAGCACGGAAGCCCGAAAACCCAAACGCCTCCAAACCTTGGCGCATCCCAAACAAACAGACAGTCTACACCTACAGTCCGAAACCCTGCCACAACCCTCGCTCGAAAATCCCAGAGCCTAAACCCAAAAAGGCACGAACATAGCAAAGAAAAGCCTAACTAAACCCCTGTACAAGCATTTCTGGAGCCCTGACAAAACCCGAATTAAATGAAACCACCCTCGTTTGAAAACTCATCATTATGCCCTTCCAGAGGAGACGAAACCACCCCTAAACCCGAAATCCTAAACCCTTAAGCCCCTCAAAGCCCTCAAAGCCCTCAAACCCCTGAAACCCCTAAACCCCTCAACCCTGAACCCCAAACCCTAAACCGCCTCGCAACGGCCGTCGTAGCCCTCGAAGAGGGCCAAGTCCGGTGGGCGGCACCCCCGATGGCAGCAACTCCTCCCTTGGAGCGCCCAAGATCTAAAGGGTTTCTGGGTTCCTTTCAGGGTTCTCAAACGGGTTCATAATGGCCGTGAGGGTTTATAAGGGTTGTAAGGGTCTTGGGGTTTCGGGGCTCCTTTAAGGGAACCCTGGGGGTTTCCTTTAGGGGATCTAGAAGGGCAGGGTTTAGGGTTTGGATGGGTTTTGGGTCTTCAAGGGCTTTAAGGATTTAGGACAGCTTACAGTCAAGGAACCCTAGCAAATCCCTTAAGGGATCTAGCAGGGCAGGATTTAGGGCTTAGGGATGTAAGGGTTTAGGATAGCTTAAAAGGATCCTTACAGGGGAGCCTTCAAGGGATCCTTTGAGGGATCTTTCAAGGGCTTAGGGCTTTAAGGCGTTAACTCACCTTTGGTTAGTGGGGAATGGAGGAATGGGGTACAATTATAACTACCATTGCTACCATTCTTCCATTCCCTACTAACCAACGGTAAGTTAAGGGTTCCTTCAAGGGTTTTGGGGGTTCCGTTAAAGGGTATTTGTAGGGTTTCCTTTGAGGGTTCCTATGAGGGATCTCTAATAGGGCTCAGGGGCATAGGGGTTTAGGGGCTTAGGGTTTTTGAGGATGTAACATCGAATTAATACTTTTGCTTGAAACTGGTGATAAGCGCAACCTCAACGGTTTTATCACAACTCAGTGAAGAGACACGACTGCGAAAAGACTCCGCATTAACTTCTGGAGGGATCTCTAATAAGATCTAAGGCACAACCTTGGTACTTAAGGACTCCATATTAACTTCTGGAGGGATCTTAAGTAAGATCTCTGGCACCTGCTTAGTACTTGCTCATTTAGGGCTTTTGGGGCAGTTCCATGGTTGACGGCCCCTTCGAGGCGGAATTTTGGTTTACTTTTAGGCGGTCGTTTGGAACTGGCGGGTTGCAGGCGCTTTGAGGGTAGGGTTTAGTGTTTAGGGTTTATAGGGTTTATGGTTCGCTCAATTTTGCGGTGCATGTAGGGTGTTTCGGGTTGAAGGCCCTTCTACGGAGGCTTTTGATATGTCGGGTAGTGGTTCAGATTGGCGGTTGAAGGTCCTAGGATGAGGAACTCGTACGCTGCGCGTCATGAGGTCATGGTTGTGGTCTAGGATGTAGGGGTGTGGGATGTTGCAGGGGTCTGGGCCATGTAGCAGCCTTCACCATTGGAACAAAGCTTTGGGCCTGTTCGAGTAATTACACTTCTAAGGGAACTTTCAGGAGATGCTTTTAGCAATCTTTCGACCTCTATAATCCTTTATGTTACATTTGGGGGCTGTTGGCTTGACAGGGTTCCGAGGGAGTCTCCATGATCAAATGCTTGTTGAGCTTCTTGGTTCTGGGGGCCTCCCACTAGCCTTGCATCGGCCCGTAGAGATATCACTCAAGGGGGTGCGACCCGGTGGCATGCGAATTCTTGAAAATGTCTGGGGTACAATAGGATGCAAGGCGTATGGTGGGATTCTGGTCCCGCTTGCTGCAAGGTATATGGTGGAGTTTACAAGCAGAATGCAATCTGATAGTGGGATTGTAATACGTTCTTCTCATCAACATAATATACTGTATTATGTTTCATTTCATTATACTATAAACTCTTAAACTATATATATATATATGTGCTAGATATTTTCCCCAGTATCAGCCTCTGGGGCCAGGGCCGGCAGCTATGCGAAAGGCGCCGGATGAAGTTCCCGTGATAAGGACCTGGCGGAGAGAGGTCACGGATTCAGCCTCATGGTTTCCTAGATTAGCGTTTATTGTTGAGGGTCCAGGGTTGTACGGTTCAGGGCTTTAGGCGTTGAGGAAGCATGGCAGCATGGTTTCAGGGTTCAGGGCTTCTTGGCGTTGGTATTTCTTGTTTTCTATAGTTTTGTATAAAGGGTCCTGTGACCTACATGAGCTTAGTCTCCAGGTATGGGATTTAAGGATCAAGGTTCACACTTTTTTATGAGATGTTTAGCTTGCCCATCACTAAAAAGATCCCCCAAAAGAGTATAGGCCATTATGAAGGCTCCTAAGCAAGCCCTAAACCCTAAACCCTAAACCCCTAAACCCTAAACCCTAAACCCCTAAACCCTAAACCCTAACCCCTAAACCCCTAAACCCTAAACCCTAAACCCCTAAACCCTAAACCCTAAACCCCTAAACCCTAAACCCTAAACCCAAAAAACCCTAAACCCTAAACCCTAACCCCTAAACCCCTAAACCCCTAAACCCTAAACCCTAAACCCCTGTAAGAGTCTGGTTGGGGTCCCGTGAACCGTGGCGGGAAACCCCAGAGTTGACTGCAATCTGTTGATCAAAGGGGAAAAGGAAGGACCCTCCATGTATAGGGATTCTATAAGGGTATAGTGTGGTTTCCTAGATTCAAAGGGGAAAAGGAAGGACCCTTCATGGGGACCCTTTAAAGGGATGTATAGGGATTCTATAAGGGTATAGTGTGGTTTCCTAGATTCAAAGGGGAAAAGGAAGGACCCTTCATGGGGACCCTTTAAAGGGATCTATAGGGATTCTATAAGGGTATAGTGTGGTTTCCTAGATTCAAAGGGGAAAAGGAGGGACCCTTCATGGGGACCCCTACCCTATAATGGGCTGTATTCTGGGTATATAATAGCTATACCTAGGGGTCCTTATTAAGGGTCCCTCCCTTTACCCGTGGAGTTGGGAACCCTGTGCAGACCCAACTAAACGGTTCATAGAAGCCCAACCCGGGAATTTCCGAAGATTAGCGGTACCTTATTTTGGAGTCCTTAAAATAGGGATCCTGCTATTTAGGGTAGAAATCACAGGGTTCGGTATTTGCGGAAACTCCCACCTCAACTCCAAATAACCTACCTCTTCAACGACTCACGTGATAAGATGTTACTGTATAAGGAAATCATGATAAGCAATCCTAAGCAGGTAAGTCTCATACCCTAAGGGTCCATGTGCCCAAATAGTATATACATTGGCCTTAAAGTACTCCCTCTATAGGTACATTGGGGCCAAAGTATATACTATTTGGGTACATGGACCCTTAGGGATAGGGTTCAGGCACAACCTCAGCCCTGATCCGACTGCGGCAACTTTGTTCCTCTCAACTTGAAACGGCACATCTGCGCGGTCACAGCTTAGAGCTTTGTATCAGGTCGGTCAAGGTTAACGGCTTATGGTGCTACTCATGGTTGAGAGGGCCATTTTGTTGAGAACGGCTAAGGGAGCAACATCGAGGTCTGGACGATTAAGAAGACCCCTTGGGACATGGTTTGCAACCATGCCATCAATGTGCCTCGAAACTTTTTCCGATTATTGAGTACCTTACCTTTGCATTAGGGGCTTAGGAGCTTGGGGTAATCGGCCCCCTGGGGCCTCACAACCTGGTCTTTCCTTTCTCCTGACTGCTGAACCAGCTTCATGAGCTACGCTTGTCATCTTGAAGGTTCAGGGTTTAGGGCCCCTAAACCCCAAACCCTAAACCCTAATCCGTCCCTGCTTCTCCAAGGCTCCAAGGCGGCCTTCTCATTCCGATTTAGGGTTTGTTTTAGACCCCAAGGCGTAGGGGTTCAGGCCTTGACAAATCGCATGTTTAGTAGTTACCTGGAGTAGGAGAACTATACCGTGACTGATTGGCTGCAACTTTGAGTAAACCTCCTTTAGACGAGGCCTGTGGCTACAGTCCTTCAGACTTACAGTCAGGCAGGATGTTGATCGAAATGAGCTTAGGCAAGATAGGGGCAACGAGAATAAGTAGTATCTGCTTGGAGTCCCCATATATACACCATACTAACATCCGGAAGCTGCTTCAATTATGAAGGCTCCCCTTTTTGGCGCTTTTGGATTCGGTTTCTCTGAACCAATGAGAACTCCTAAACCCTAAAGTCTAAACCCAAATACCAAACCTCACACTGCGGCATTCCCACGGCATTATCCGCTTTGGGAGCTTCAGCCTTTATCAAAGCCCCAGTCAGGATTCACGTTAACCTACCCAAAACCTACCTTCTTTTAGGGTCCTATAACTTCCTTATTAGGGTTTGTGATCAGAACTTACGAAAATGTAGGGTCTGGTAGGTTAAGGTAGGGTGTCCCTGTCCCGTCCTGACAGAAAGCTGAACCGCTGTCGGGAAACACTGTACAGTTGACGCAGTAAGGATGGAGATCGGTTTCGTAATGGTCTGTGCGATCTCAATCGTCAGAGTCACCGCAATTGCCAGCACTGACGGCACTGTGTTTAGGGCTTAGGGCTTAGGGTGCAGGATTTAGAGCTTAGGGTTTAGGGTTTAGGATTTAGGGCTTTGGGTTTAGGATTTAGGACGTAGGCCTTAGGGCTTTGGGTTTAGGGTTTAGGATTAGGGCTTTGGGTTTAGGGTTTAGGGTTTAGGGCTTTGGGTTTAGGATTTAGGGCTTAGGGTTTGGGGTTTAAAGTTTAGGGCTTAGGGTTTAGGGTGATGCCATACCGAGGCCATACCGAGGCTCGGGATGAAGTCGCTGACAACAAAGTACCATTCGTCATCGAGGTTCTCCGTTTGAGGCTGCCGGGCTCGAGGCCTATGGATATGGTTGATGATATGAATCCTGCAGTACCCATAATAAGGAATATGCCACAAATCCCATAGCTTAGGGTCCTGAAGGTAATGCAGGATTTATATCATCAACAATAGGGCGTAGGGACTTTTTGGACAGAGAGCGGTAGTATAGGCGCCTTAATAGTTAGAATAGGATTTTGGGTCCCCCTTATACTACATTTATAATGAGGTACCCCCCCGCAATAGTATTGAATTGGCAATTATCTAGGACCCCATGGTACTTGTAGAGTGGTCGTGAGAGCACTCCTGTTGTGAGTTCAATCGAAGGTCATTTTTTGTGACAGAACCTTTCTAACCGGTCAATAAATTAGAAGCAATCTTTCTCGGCATTTGGCCATCATTGGCTGACTTTGACCTGTGAGGAATCCTGTAAACTCATTTTATAGAACCCCTGCGATTCATGCAGGGAGTCCGACATGTTTTTGTTTGTGGCGGCTGCCAGAAGCTTGATAAACGTCATTCTGACGTGCTCGGATGGGCAAGCAGAAGTAAGCATGCAAGTTCCAAAGCCTTTGACCTTGAACCGTAGGGTCATGGTTTTGGGTTAAGGGCTTGACCCCTAAACCCTTTTCTTGCACGAGAAACATTACCAAATACAAGCTCGCTCCACCCAGTCTGTTGAACTTCTCGGGATTTTCTCTTTAGGTCAGGGAGCCACTGTCCATATTTCTGCTTGTGGGTGTCTTTGGTTGAGGCAAGAAACCGACGATTATGGCTCCTTGAGAGTCACTACTCAATTGTAGTAACTAACCCGCAATTTCCCAATCACGAAACTTGTAATTCAGTACTTTGCCACAAAGCACGACACATGGTTGCTAGCATTCGTGCTCTAAACTAAACTCACTGGCAAACCCAAACCCCTAAACTCCAAACCCTAAACTACAAAACCCTAAACGATGGAAACTTTAGCTTCAGACCCTAAAACCCTAAACCTACTGTTGATGATATAAATCCTGCATTACCCGCAATAAGGAATATACCATAATTCCCATAGTCTAGGGTCCTTATGGTAATGCAGGATTTATATCATCAACGGTATCGAGCCCAGCCCAAAATCCCTCTGTCAACCTGGCGTTGGAACCCCGGAACTCTGTGACCCTACTTGGAGGTTCATGGGTAGCTATAAGTGGGGTTATAAGTCCCCAAATATGGGTTATAAGTATTGTTACCCTACTTATAACGACCCCTAAACCCTAAACCCTACAATCCTATACTCGAAACCCTCTAAAGCCTTTAAAGGAACCCTACTTGTACCTACCCCTGAACCCTACACCCTACAATCCTATACCCTAAACCCTATAGAGCCCTTAAAGGAACCCTACTTACAACTACCCCATAAACCTTGCCAGGTTCTCGAAACCCTTGAGCGCAAACAAAAAACCCTCAAATCCAGAAGCCCATGATACGTATCACCCTGAAAAGGACCCTGTAAGAAGCCCCACATGAAACCCATAAACTCTTGTAGCCCTTACAGGAGCCTCTTTAAGGAACCCCCTTAACCTATAGGGACCCTTTTTAGGAAGCCCTTTTTGCAGCCTTTTAATTTTAAGCCTTAAACCCATAAACTCCAAGTGCGGAAACCCAACACAACCCCAGAGCCGACGATCACAACACCTCAAATCTCTAAGGATCTAAGACCTTAAGCCTTTCGGGTTTAAGGTTTCGTCTAGGGTTTAGGGTTAGGGTTTAGGGTTTAGGGTTTGAGGTTCAGCAGCTCCGGATCGAGCAGTTCTAAAGTAGAGTTGTATTTACGGTTTAGAAATAACACGCACCCACCCTTAGAATCCCATAACATAAGCCATATAAAGTTTTTCATCACCATTCAGAGAGTTCTACCTGCAACCTAGCTTGTCACACTTTAATGTCGCTTTCCCACACTACTAGGAAAATACAACAGTTCATATTGCTCCCACAGCTGATTTATTTTTTTAAGGTTGTCGAGCTTAGACTTACCTTAGATTCCTCCAACCAACAAGGTGTGTTGTATATGTTGCAAGCTATTTATTCATAGTTAGTTGCCCCAGCCTTAAACCCTAAACCTTAAAGGCAGGCCCCCAGCCCTAAACCCTAAACCTTAAAGGCAGGCCCCCAGCCCTAAACCCTAAACCTTAAAGGCAGGCCCCCAGCCCTAAACCCTAAACC